TTTTTTTTACTTTATTTTATATGTTTTTAATGATTATATCTTTACTTTAAATTCCAGGATGACACTGTAGAAGGCTACATCCCTAATGCTCGGTGGTTTAACTACTATACTGTAAGTATTTAAAAACTCTGGGGAATTGACTAAAGATATATGCCTAGAGTTACATTGATGTAACCAATGAAGTGTGTTCACTTTCCTCTTTAAAAGAATAGCATATGTCTTGCTAACTATATCTGAATCAAATTAACACACAGTGAAGGAGGGTAAATTTTTTTCTGCTATAATTTGTTAGTCATTGATTTCTTTCTGCAAATAAACATGAAAATTGAACATTACTTGAAGTACGGTCTTGTCCTTCATTGGTTATGATAAACAATCATTAAAGGTAATGAGATCCTTCCAGGAATCATGTACATGGAAAGTCAGACATAGCTTTTGTGACCTTTCAGAATTCATATGTGTTCTGCATATAAGCGTCACAAAAACAAATAGCTATAAATTACTTTCAGAGTTATTATGGAGGATCCTATTTAACTAAGAACTATGGGTATGCTTTAAACAACATGATTCCTTGAATAAACACTTTTGTTATTTTTTAAACTGGAAATCATATCGTTTGGGTTTATGAATGTATGCCCTCAAATACCAAAACTGCTGATGATCTATTTCTTATTTCTCTTGTTATTCTTTTCATCTCTTTCATTTCCAGGGTGAAGATATAGGTTTCAGAGGAAAAAATAGTACATTTCCAACTGACTGGGATAAAATAAATCTACATGTTAGAGGTGGTTACATCCTACCATGCCAAGAGCCTGCTCAAAACACATTTTACAGGTAAGTTAACTGTTTTCAGGGCTCTAATTATGTTTTGTGATATATCCTGCTAGAAATGTCTGGAAAGGTCTAAGATTTTTCTCTGACCTACAAGCTAACAAGTTTGCCTGCCATGGTGATGGGGATACTGAGTCAAGAATATCTTTATTATTGACAGCATAGCAAGAAACAGAAAACTTCACATTAACATAAATTTTCCTTGATTGTCAAGTCCCATTCTGGATGACATAAAGTAGACCACACAAATGCTATACATGCTTTAGGTTTGTGTCACAGCTGAAGAACCTCAAGTTTAAGGGAGTCTAATGTTTTATTATGGGCCATAAGCAAACCCATCCATCCTTCAAAGAAAGACATCATCTTTTTTATACTTAACAATGGTTAAAATTTTTTTTAAATTTACTTTATTTTTTAAAAATTTTTTAAAAATTTTACTTTATTGTTCCAGTGCTAATTAAATTTTTATTGTTATTGTCAGATGAAAAAAATTAAAGCTCAATAATTTTAAAGTACCAGTATACAGTTAAAATAATAAAATCTTCTAATTAAACATGAATAAATCTGACAATTCAGACTAAGTATATTTCTATATACATACTTGAAAATACTGTATTTTTCTTTAAAAAGTTTTCCCATGCTCTCTTTTTAAAGTATTTAATTTATTTTATATTTTCTTATTGGTGCATTATAATTGTATATAATGGTGGAAATCATGCCATATTCATACATGCACATAACAATTTGATCAATCCCTTTCCCCATCACATC